TTGCTAGTAGTTTGGAGGCCATTGCTAGTTGTTTGGAGGCCATTGCTATTTGGTTAGAGGCTGCTTGTAGTTTGGAGGTCATTGCTACTAAGGTTGGAGGCCATTGCTAGTAGTTTGGAGGCCATTGCTATTAGGTTGGAGGCCAGCCATTGTCAGTAGTTTGGAGGCCGTTGCTATTAGGTTTCTGCTACTAGGTTGCAGGCCATTGCTAGTTTGGAGGCCATTGCTAGTAGTTTGGAGGCCATTGCTATTAGGTTGGAGGCCATTGCTAGGTTGGAGGTCATTGCTACTAGGTTGGAGGCCATTGCTTGTAGTTTGGAGGCCATTGCTACTAGGTTGGAGGTCATTGCTAGTAGTTTGGAGGCCATTGCTAGTAGTTTGGAGGCCATTGCTATTAGGTTGCTAGTAGTTTGGAGGCCATTGCTATTAGGTTGGAGGCCATTGCTATTAGGTTGGAGGTCATTGCTATTGGGTTGGAGGCCCTTGCTTGTAGTTTGGAGGCCATTGCTACTAGGTTGGAGGTCATTGCTAGTAGTTTGGAGGCCATTGCTAGTAGTTTGGAGACCATTGCTATTAGGTTGGAGGCCATTGCTATTAGGTTGGGTGCCATTGCTAGTAGTTTGGAGGCCATTGCTATTAGGTTGGAGGTCATTGCTATTAGGTTGGAGGCCATTGCTAGTAGTTTGGAGGCCATTGCTAGGTTGGAGGTCAAATGCTATTAGGTTGGAGGCCATTGTCACCCGTGGCCGAAAAGACCGTCGCCAGCGTCCAGGGAATCACCAAGCCTGCGATTCGGCGCTTGGCTCGGCGCGGTGGTGTGAAGCGCATCAGCGGTCTTATCTACGAGGACACGAACTGGTGAGCAAAATGTAGGAAACACAGGTCTTGAAATAGAAAAATACTTGGCAAGCCTTGCACCTGTACGTGCCAAACTTACCCAAACTTTCTGTAAAACTACTGCTCTTTTTGCTTCCCTCAAACAAGGCGAATTAGGTTGTATGCCAACCAGTGTTCTCTAGCGAGAGCGTGTTGATTCAGGAGACGAGGGGCGTCTTGAAGACGTTCTTGGAGAACGTCTTGCGTGATTCGTCCTGTACCGAGTCTCCGGTGTTACGAAAGAAGCTTCGGACCGAGTCTCCGGTGTTGACTCTGCCAACGTCCAAGGATCACTTACACGGAGCATGCAAGACGCAAGACCGTCACTGCACGAACCTTTGAGAGGAGTCAGAATGAGTATAGAGCATGATATAACATGACTGGAAACATCAGAAGCAGATTCAGGCCATGGACATTGTCTATGCGCTCAAACGGCAGGGCCGTACCATCTACGGATTTGGCGGATAGCAGGCCTAATTTCGATGTGTGCATGTGTGTGTGTGTGTGTGGGGCAGTCCGGCAACATACTAGCCGCTACTAGCCTCGCTCCGTTTTCTTGGAAGTTATCTGCGCTGTTTTTGACTGTTCAGGCTGGTCCTCACCAGAGAGTGATAAGGGTTGGATTAACCTGGACCATGCTGGGGCACCGGAGGAGTTTTTCTGGGCTTTTGTGCGATCAGGCTGTCATCACTTTTGGTCACAAGTTGTTTCTCAGACATCCAGTTTTAGCGGAATTGGTGCCCTTCTGAGTTGCGTACCTTGCTTGCAGCAGAAATTCGCTGCGAATAGAGGTGCGGGGGGGATTGCGGCAAGCACTGCCAGACCATCCTTCGAAACAACACAAAGCTAGACCTGGCAGCGCTTGCAGAACGGGTGGGCTTCCGCATTTGCTGTGAGGTTTAAGCAAGATTGAGGCTCACCACGTCAGGGTGGACAGAAAATGTGTCTTCGTGCTTGATTTGCTTCATTGTACATGGCTTCGAGACTTATTCAGTATGTGATCAGTCAAGTGCTGCTGGCAATGAATTAGCTCGAGCCCAGCAGTTGCTTTTGCAAGGTTGACCACCCCGCAAAAACAGTTCCCCTCGCTACGTTGTCCAGTGATACTTCACTTGTGATAAGCCTGAACGCATTCAAACTTGGCCACGACTAGCCAGAGAGGCTGAGGCCTGCAATTCCTTTGCATTGGGCTGTGTGCAGAATGGATGTGCTGAATTCCGCTGCATAGGTCATGTGCGGAATTTTGGCCCTCTTCGGCTTGCAGGACACGTGAGCCCAAAGTCGCCAGAGCAGACAGAGATCCTATGTATACATGTGCAAACATACACACATGTGTATGCGATATATGTATATATATATATACATATTGTATATGTATGTATGCATCTTCGGGGGCTGCAGTAAATTCTCCACACGGTCTGTGAACTAAGCCTCCGCCCCCTTTCAGGACGCTGGACCCTTGCGGAAGCAAGTGGTGGATGCTGCAAAGCTCCTGCGTCGGGTGCCGAGAGTGGACATTCGGAAGGAGTCTCCACCGGTCCACGCCTGAGGACACCGAGGGCCTGATTGGAGTGGAGTATACTGTGAGGCCACATGCGGAATCCTGAGCAATGACACATGACCTGAGAAATCAACTGCTATTCCAGCGGAACTGGAGATTGGACAGTGTGAAGATTGTGAAGGCACTTGTTTCAAGACTATAAGGACTACGCTTACGCTCGTGTTTTTCGAACCGCACAGCATGCGTTGTGCAACAACATGGCGAGCCTAATAGCAGTATGAGTGATAGACGATCGCCGATCGCCTGGCAGGGAAGCACCATCATTGCCCACGAGCGCCTTGCGATCGTGGACCCTGACAGTGGTGATCAGCCGTTGTTCAACGAGGCACCGGGAATCTTCGGCAATGATGGCTCATGATCCGAGAATGGGAGGCCAAGGACATCGTTTTGGGGGTCAATGGTGAAATCTACAACTACACTGACTTGCAAGACGAGTTGGAGGCGAGGCAGGGAGGTCACTTGTGGTCAAAAAAGTACCGATGCTGTCGCAGATTTCAGGAGAGAGCTCCCAAGAAGCACAAATTCCTCACCAAGAGCGACTGCGAGGCCCAGCCGAAGCCGAACACTTGGCTCCGTTGGTCCGTCGGCCAGTTTGGTCCGCCAGGTCTTGCTCCACTTGTACGCCCAGGATGGCATCGATTTCTTAAGCAAGAACGAGGCGGAAGTAGATCTGACAGAACGCCTTCAAATAGGCAACTAGATCATGCTAGATCCAAAAGCTGTGCCATCTATGCTTTCTGTACCCGGTGGAGCCGGACTATGGGTTGCCTTTGTCCGGTCAGTTGGGGTTGGGTGTTTTGTGGGCTGGCTCTGTGTCTCTACTGTGTTTTCCAAGCTACGTTTGGTCGTCCCAAGTCTGACGACGATTCACATGGGCGCGGTTGCATACCCGGGCGTATCCAGCGGTTGCATACCAGGTGTGTGGAATGTATGCCTTCGCCATTTGGGACAAGAAAAACAAGACGCACATGGCCCAAATGACCTGTCGAGTATTTTGTGGCAGCATGACGCAGCGCAAGATCGTGGATGTAGCAACACCTTTCCTTTGCTTCCATTGGTTCTGAGGGATGTGTTTTGCCACCCTCTCAGGTATCTGGTTGCTCGCGATCCAGTTGGGATCATCCCGTTGTATATTGGATGGTTTTGCTCTGAGTCAATACCAGAAAATTCCTTCCGACATAGATCGAAGTCATGGTCTTTCCACAACACGTTGGAACATTCCAGGGGAAGCGATGGATCAGTGCAAGTGGCTAGCGAGCTGAAGGCTTTGCACAAGGTGGGGACCCCCACAGCATCTCTCAGATACTTCAACGTAGATGACAAAGATAGCATCAATCATATATGCATCTATGCAAATAGGTACACAGCTGCATATGTACATGTACAGGTACATGTATGTATATAAATAAGATTCACTTAACACTTTCAAGGGCATAGTGGCACAGCCTGACAGTTGGAGAGTACCACCCTGCATTTCTATGTCATGATGTGTAGTCAAGTCCTATTCCAATTCTCTTTTTTTTCAATAACTTAATGTTGATTTCTTGCTGGAACTCAGGCTGCCTGGGCTTTCGGTTCAAGGTTGCACAAGGGATTGTGTTTTAGCCACTTAAGCAGAGCTCAAATAGTGCTCGATACAACCTGAAGCTTTATTTTCAAGACCCGAGCGGGTACTCTGTGTACTCATATGACTACAGGGAGCTTCACAACTTCTACCCACAGCAGTCTCATTTGGCCAAGTATCCCTAGAAACAGAACAAGAGACACGAACATTGCGAGCACAACACGCCCGCATATATGGCATGGTGTCCTAGTCCACTCCTCAGATTGGCTGGCTAAGCAGATCTAGCGTACTAGTGGACTCATTGGCATCCGAGGCATTCTGTCAAAGTATGGGCAACAGCAGCTGCCAATCATGCGGAGTTGCTCGAACCCTGGTTTGACGCTTCGTTTGAAGCCTTCCGTTTGAAGTCTTCGGTTTGCGCAAGCACCAGCTGCTTGACTTCATGGGACAAGGCAGACTGCGACAAGAATACATCCAAGCCTGGCCCTCCCTGTCCGGGGCTCTTCTTTGTGGACTGCGGGCTTGTCCTTGTAGCAGCTGGAGCACTGTGTGGAGAGACGTAGCAAGCCACATGAGGCCACAACATGAGACCCGACGCTCCCAAGACCAAAGCTTCTGCATTGCCTCCTTACTCGGCTAACTGGAATCAACCACTTCTTGCTCACTAACAGAAGCTGTCCCTGCACAATCGCAGAAGCTTTCGCCTGTTTTTTGCCTCTCGTAGCTTCTGTAGCTCCTGCCTTCCACTGTTAGTCTAGTTCCCCATCTGCCGAATGCTAGTCGATTCTGAGACGCAGTAAGCTTAACATGTCTCAAAGAGTGCGATGAAGCGGCGATTCTCTTGAACTTAGTCACAGACAGAAAACAAATGAACATAAAGAAAAGAGCCTCGCAGCCTTGCACGGTCGACTGCACATTCAGAACTTCCGAGGCCGAGCACAGCCGGCAGAAAGTTACCAGGAGGGCACAAAGGGTGCTTTTCAGGGAATGGCTCAGGCATTCTCTCAGGTATCCCAAAGCATCCCAAATCTACAGTCTAAAGCAGTCTAAGTTTAAGGGTCTTTTCAAAGAGATCCTGCCCGACATCTGGAACTCGATTCCAGGCCCTTGCTACCCCTCCAGCGATCAACGGTTGGGCGACTGCCCCAGAAACGGCAAGGCTTGGGTTTGTCTCAATTTGTCTCGGGATCATCCGGTCCTAACACTTGATTGTCTATGTGCCTCAATGGGGTTTCTGTAGTTTCCACTGGCTCCCTCATTCTTGAGACAAGCAGACAAGCACGAAACGGATATGGACTGCCAGACACTTTTTTGCGCTTTCGTGCTTTGATGACTAAGGAGTTCGCTCCTTTTGGATATGACCCTTTGGTTTTGCAGAATGTTGCAGCTGCCTCAGACTGCTCCAGCGTTTGTGCAAGTGCTGATCATTTGTGGTAGGCCAACAGGCAAGAACAGAAAATTGAGATCAGCGACCTTGGTCAAAGACCACTAGACCAAATGCCTCAACATAAGTGCCCCCCAGACTGGTGCTGAGAGGCATACCAATTGATGAATCCCGCCTTTGAGAAGTGTGGAGGGTCGAAGGCTCCGTGAGAAATGTGTACTCTTGCCACATTTTGCTCTTTGCAAAGCTCCTTTCTGCAGGTGGAGCTACTTCGAAACTTCTTAAAAGCGGTTTCATCAACGTATCAGCTCATTCCATTCCACAGCTTTGCACACGTCAGATGCCCAGCTTCCACCATGTGTCACGTGGTGCTGTCAGCCAAGTCTTTGTGTTCAGGCTTTGGATGTCCTCCAAGCCTTGAGTTGGCAAAGCCGTACCCTCAGCTCCGGTCTCTGGGTTAAACTTTGAACGGCGCAATAGCTAGCGGAACATGGCGGATCTGGCACAACAGCAACGGCTATACTTTTGCACTGCTGTACTCTTGTGTTTCAGAGGCCACCAGATCAACTGTGATCACATGCTGACTCCCGTCAAGCAGTTCGCGCTCACCATCGCTGCTATTGCAGCCAATACCTCATATCACTCTGTGATCTTCTGAAGTTGACAGCGAGTGCATTGTACTGAGGTTGACATTGGACATCCTGGTGTTGACAATGCTTATCTCATAGATACAGGAGATCCCATTGCATCTTGCCACGCTCCCAGCCCCCCTGAGTTCACACGAGTTCGCGTGGCTTCATCCACGTTTCTCTTTTACCGCGCATTGCACATGCAAGTGAGTCTGAAGCAGATTAAGCAACTTGCATTTGCTGCTTTCTAGGTTACAATGACTTCTCTCCGCTTGAGCCCACCAAGCATGTCTTGTTTCAGATGAGCATCAGATTCGCTGTAGTGGTGATAAAGTGCTCTGCAAGCCAGGAATATGCATTGCAGTAAACTTTTTGACCTGCTGAAGAAGGTGCAAGATCTTGAAGTTTTGGTTTTGGCACTTTCTACGATGACCCTGCCACTGTGACTCTGTGGACACTCCATACTCATTTGTTCCCAGGATGGGTTGGAGGTGCTGGGTCACTTGGCATCCGAGGCCCCGAGCCATCGCGCTTTCGGCTTTGCATCCAACGGTTGAAGCGGTTGAAGCGGGTTGGAGCCGTCGAAACTGTGACAGGAGTTCCGAGAAGCACGGCGACTCATTATCGATACTATCCTTCATACGGATAGATACCGCTCGGACCGCCCAGTCAACCACAGTCTGATGGCACGCCAGTCCCATGCATCTTTTCAGTTGCCTCAGCTTGGCTTTCAAGGTCATATGGAGGTGGTGAATGAAGTCCGGGCAGTTGCACGGCAAGGTGCATCCTTTTTCCATTGCTTCAGCAAGACTATTCGATACTCATGGATGGATGGCAGGATATGCACCAAAGAGTGCAGATCATTCATCAGCAGAAGGCAGACAGATTTTTCCGTCTTACATTGTGTCACCATGTGTCACCCCAAATCCTGCCAGGTATGGAAATTGTGCAGGCACGGGTGCGAGGACTCCTCAGCAAATGTATAGCGTCTTGCTTGCCTGGAGGCGTTGACCAGAGCGCTCCTGGTGTTGTCCGACATGGCACACCAAGCAAGGCATGGTGATCGCAAGTAGGTTGGAGGCCATTGCTATTAGGTTATCCTTGTGTACAAAGCACCGAGGGCGTGCCTCATGAATCTGACCAAGCCAACAGATTTAGAGCTGGGCAGAGCTCCGCAGAGCAAGACCAGGCCTTTGCAGACTTCCAACACCTGGGCTACAATGCTTGAGCAAGAACTTGGCTTCTTGGTTTTTGGGAAAAAGACGTTCCACAGTGCCACAGACTCCTGGGATTTGGTGGGATCTGGTATCACTACCATGAGTGAAAGACTGGCAATGAGGCTCTCAAAACGAGCGGGAGAGGGACTTGGGACTACAGGCCAGTCAACGCTTTGCCATTGACCTTGTTCCAAACTAGCATTTTGCCTGAAGGTTTTGCCACTCAATAGATGGAAGCAGCAAGCTCAGACTTCCAAGAAATTGGGATGCTCAGACTTCCTTTCTTGAAAGGACAGCTGAGTCAGAAACCTGACTTTGGACCTTAGAGACACTTGACATGAAGAAACTGTTGGTCTCTTCGACGGACCGAGACCTTCCCGGAGCGATTTGCAGCTCCACCTGGCACTCAGTAGAACTGGGCTGTGAGCTCAGCCACGACCGTTGAGCTCAGTAGCCGTTAGATTCTGCATCTCATCTGCAGGCCACTTCTAGGAGCCCTCCTGCATATATTCCCGGCATTGGGAGCAGCAACTTGACTCGGCAGATGTATAGATGGCCTTCGAGAAAGGGCTCTTCAAGTGAACATGCTCTGAAGTTCGAGCACACTGCGAAGCCCAGGCTTCAGATCAGCTGATAGACAATGCCAAAAGTTTGCATCTCAGATTGCGGGGTCTCTACCGTTTATTGTTCATATTTATTGTTCATATAAATATACCTATAATTATAACATGCTTGAATGAGGCTGGTCGCATGACTGTGTCGCACAAGAAGAGGCCAGGCCCCTCCCTAGCCTGACTAGACTAATGTTGAGAGCATGTCCAATGAGCCTAAGGTTGTTTCTTTTCAGCCTTTGCGCTAGGTGGAAGGAAAACCTCAGACAGATGGTCGTGCAAAAAAGAAGCTTAACGTGCAAGCAGAAGTTGTTTTAAGGGAATGCCAGGAGTTACTTAGCAAGTGCAACTACTTTATCCTTGTGAATCTTTTTGCCAAGGATAGAAACTATGCTGGACCCAGCGTTCTTCCCTTGGCATTTGCGCTCCGTTTTACTGCTCGAATTTGGAGCATGGCACAAATAAGCGCAAACATATAATACAAACATCAGGTTGCCTCACGTTTGATTCTTGAACCCTGTGACCGTGGCTACTTGGAAAGGCGTCCTGCTCCAGCGCCAGTGGTGGATCAGAAAACAGGCCGTTGACTGGGAACAAGAAAGCCACCAAGCTTTATTTTGTACCTATTGTCACTGAGAAGCTTGGGGGATCTTAGTCTTAAGGGACTCTTTGAGGATGTAGGTTTGAGCGAGCGCCTTCATTTTTGGTGGTTCAGACCTACTGTGAGACTTGATGCAGGGCATGACCGCTTCGGCTATTTGGGTGCTGCTCGACCCTACACTGGCAGGCAGGCAAGTTGATTGAAATGGCCAGAGAGACTTCCCCCCTGACGCCTTCTATTTGGAGATAAGCCGTGCATTTGGCCGCTTAACTTCTGCGTTGAGGCAACAGCGACTTACAACTTCAACCATCGCAAGCACCCTGAGCACAAACAGTCCGCAGGGGTCTCTTGGCACGAGCTGGACCTTGCATTTGGCGTAGCAGACTGTCGGAATTGAGGTCCACTGTCTCCACGACAGACCGCACAAGCATGCAGCTTGCCACCATTAGATCTGCTGCAAGCAACAGCGTTTACGGCAATGGCTCTAAGGACTAGCAACAAGCCACAACCACATCTCATCCGTGAGGCCGGTTTGATCTGCGCAGGTGACGTCTTCCTGTGCGGTTGCATTTCGGGACTGGTTCAGGTACGTCGCTGGCAAGAAGGAAAGTCGGCTCTACTGCGAGGTCGAGAGGCCTTCGGATGTGGGTGGATCTCGCACGTGGGTCGCGTGTGTCTTTCTCGCGTGGCAGGACCTCCCCGAGTCGTCGCTTTCTCAGAATTCACTGGTCGTTCGGTGTGAGAAAGCCAACTTCCTGTTCTTCGGAGTGCAGTCAGTCATGGCGCTTGAAGGCAAAGCAAAGGAAGAGAGCTGGTCTTGCTGTGATACTGGCTCATTAAACCCTGTGTCGCTGTGGTTGCAGACCGAAGACGCATTCTGGGAATGATATGACATGATATGATGACTATTATATGTACAATATTATACAATTATGTGGTACTAGATGGTAACAGAGGTTGGTTCCCACCTTGCCAGGTATGTCCTGTCAGACCCCAACAGCAAAGACACGCCAGGGCCTCAGTTGAAGGCGACACCGACCAGAGACGGCACGAGGACGTCATAAGATGCCATGCGAAATGTTTCGAAGGAAACCTTGGTATCTTCGGACGGAGATAAATCACACCTCCTTGTTAAGCCTTGTTAAGTAAAAATAATCTGTGCATCCTTCGGATAGAGGATGAGTGAGGAGTTTAACAACGCCACCCAGGCCGATTCCATACCGCTGGGTCGACCGAAACAGCGCCACCTTGGATGAAGCGTCAGTCCAGTCCCCAGATGTGTCACTCATCCAGCGATTCGCTTGCTGAGAATTCGGGTTCTACCCCAGAAATGCATCCATTGGCAACGACAGTTTGTCAAATAGGCGAGACCACCCTGAGAATTGCGAGCGATTGTTTATATATATATATAGATATGCTTAGATAGCAGTATTTTTGGGGCCAGAAACGACTTTTGGGGCATGTCCATTTTTGGCTCTTGGATGTTCATTTGATCGTCGGCAACGCAAAGTTCCCATTGAAGAATCGGCAAGGGAAAACAAGGAACATGTCTTGAGAAGTTGCTCGAATACACCAGGCACATGAGCTGGCTTGCCTGATGTAGTGCATCATGGACCAAAATGTAGGTATTGAACCCTGCAAAACACTCAGTTTTCACATGGTTTCACTGAAAGTGTTGCTTTGGAAGGGGTTACCTTGAGAGTTTGTTCTGGTCGGGTGGAATATTCTGAACAATAGATCCTGCCCACCTATTCTTGAGAGGTCAGGTTCGGTTCTCCATGAGCCGTCGTGCCAACGTGGCATAGCTTTAACGCTCTGCAAAGCAGCAAAAGGGCCAAACATGTCCCCTTTCCAGAGGACTTCACCAACAGATGAGAATCTGCTGTTTCACCAAGTACCATTTCGCCAATGCCCCATTTACCGGCGTATCACCTGCACTGCCCAACCACATTCAACTTGGAGTGGTTCTCGATGGCGCATACGACCATGCACCAGATGCTTGACGGTTGAAGCAAGTGTAACTCACAGCACAACTGCCTGCAGCAAACAAGAGAACCAGTGGACCAGCAATGCGGGCTGCCTGGCCCACTTAAAGTGATATCCGAGTGACATGTTTGGGCACATATAAGATGTGTCCATGTATTTTTCCTGCTGGCTCATCAGCTCGAGGTCCAATAAAACTGCCATGATTGTCGTGACCCTTGGCTTTGTCCACCTTTCTACTCACCACAACAAAAATTGCTCGCACAAAAACACAGAACTTCTGCCAGAAAGTCAGTTTGCACATCATCTCAGCATATCTCAGCTATTCATTGGGTCTGTCTCATTACCTGTAACAGTCTGTAAGCAAGAACACTATATATGTTAGAGAAAGGCATTTTTTTTCAAAGCATCATCCCCTTTTCAGGCCTTCTCTAGACCCAAGCTCTTCATCCCATTTTTTTCGTTCCAGACTTGGACCGAGGCTGCAGATGATGTGGTTTCACGGGGCTCGCGTGCTGCGAGTGAGGACAATGCACCTTGGCACGACTGAGGTGGTTGTGTTTCCGGGTACAAGAGAAACACATCAAAAGGAACCAAATAGCGATGGCCTCCAACCTAATAGGAATGGACTCCAACCTAGAAGCGATGGCCACCAACCACATCAACGGATGATTTGCCATGGTTTTGCTCCAGGTCTTCTTGGAGAGTCGCAAGAGGAGAGGGAGTTGTCTCGTGGCACCGACCAGTGCTTCCCCGGTCTATACCACATCTCGTTCGGCAGATGCTGCAGGGTGCTCAGTGGTGAGTGGTAGTGATCTCTTTGGTGTCGCCTGAGTCGACTGGACCGCCAAGGTGGTCACCACTGTGGAGCCCAGCCGATTTGATGATGTCCTGTCATCACTCCTTCATGGCAACATGGTGAGCCAAGCTGAGCTAAGCTGCACCTCGTTCTGGAAGGCAAGGTTTGTGGGTGCTAAGGTCATTCCGAACATTGATCATGCCAATAGCAGCAGCTTTGAAAGCAATTACAGCAGGTCGTTTTGTCCGTGCAACAAACTCTCAGTCCTTGACCAAGGCCCGTCACATAATCGACGTGCATCACGCACTTCTGCGGTCATTTCAGAATCTTGGTGGCATTTGGTGGGAATCGACCATGAACAAGTATGTCGCAGAAACATAGGGTCAACTTCCGCACAGTGAGTTGGTGAATGTTGGTGATATGACACACTCCAACGGTGAGGCCAGTTGTGTTTGGCAGAACTATAGCACTTGCCGTTTGAGTGCAGCACTGATGCCAACTTCACCATAAGGATGTGTCCGCCGCAACTCGTGATCGTAGGGGCCTTAGATATGCCTTGGTAGTACAATGCCTTAACTTGACCAATGCTTTCGGAATCAGGCATCAGGTTTCCAAGGTTAGGTTTTCCATTCTTCTGCTTTTGTCGGAATACTTCAGCTGGCAAGGGTCGAACAGATATTACTCCACAAATCAAATCTTTGCATTGTATTTAAACAGGACTATCGCGAATCAACACATTAAGAATACCCCATTATGCTTCTTCAGGATTCTTCAGGTTTCTTTCTGAATACTTTTGCTCAGGTGCATTTGCTGCTGCGTCGGTGTTTGGGGTGTACTGCTGGCGAGTTTGGTCGACAGGGGCTTGAAAGCTGCGCGAAGCAAGACGTTTGGTCGACCGCGACACGATGCAGGCTCATGAGAGGAGGCCACTGAGGCTCCTGGCCTGGCACCTTCTCGATTGATCAGTGGAAAGACCTTGCCACTCACCCGATTTTTGAACAAGTGCTATGGTTAGTGCGCTGATGCCAAGCAGCAGCAGCTTCAGTTTTCACCCATTAAGAAGACAATCATGTTGACAGCTTGCACGCAAGACGTGCCAAATTCAATTCGTTTCCTGCCAAAAAAATGTTCCACTGAACTCGCGAAGCGATTCAGTAGAACTGGGAAGGCCATTGCCGCTGTATTTCGTTGACAATCTGGAACCAAAGCATCAATAAATAGAAACATTGTGTGAGAAAATTTTGTCAGCTTTGAAGAGCTTCAAAGCTCTTGAAATTGCAATAGAAATATTTATGTGAGTTTTCGAGTCGGCCTTTCAGGGCATCCCAAGCCAGGGACAACTCATCGGCACGTTTTCAGAATTCCTTCCGATGTGTTGATCGGAATTGACCGCTTCTTGTGGTTTCCGAGTCAGGCTGAGCCTCTCCGAGTGTAAGAATGCCAGCATTGAATCCTAGAATGGTCAGTTGATGTTTTTAATCCGTTGCTCTTGCTGCACTCTTGGTCACGCAAGCAAGAAGCTGTTTGATATGCATGCTGCATGAGCAATCTGAAGTCAGTCAGAGTCGGAAATGCTGTATATTTTTGCTGCAATGCCCGCTGTCAATTGACATGCCATATATTTAGCATGACAGCCCGGACGACGGTCGCTCTGCCAAAAGCGTGCATTTGCATTGACACGTGTGTCACCAGTTGTGGAAGCTGATAGGCTATTATGAATGCCCATATCAAGTCAGTGTTCAAGCCACATCATGAAGATGGTGTGGTTGTGGTTTCGACAAAGCTAGCTGGCTTCCATTTCCAGCGCTGGCGAGTATGCTTTGTGTTCTTCCTTGTGTGCTTTTTCACCTCCATGCGCAGGCTTGCGAAAGATATGAAGAGTTTCCCCCAGGTCATGTTTTAGACTCCAAGACCGTGCTTCTGGCGTGTTTCCAATGTCAGTCTTGTGGTACAGGGATTTGGTTTCAAGAGTTTGTTGGCCTACCAGGCTTAGCAGAGAGTATTTTGTCGTGGGACTTGACTTTGTTTTCCTCTGTGCGAGGTGTCGTGTTGAATCTGTGCGTGCTGCCAGGGCAAGAGGCGTCTATTCTACACACCAATTTGGAACCAGCCGACTCCTGTGCCTACACAGGACACCAGCCGCCAGATCAAACCACTCAGTCCTCTGCAGAAGCCCAGTATGGTTTCCATGCTCATTCTGTGTCACTCTTGGCAGGACATGGCGCTGCATACCCTTAGAGAAGCCTTCGAAAGGTCTGTCATCTCTCACATGATGGTGCCTCTCCTCCTGTTTTGGACAACGCTTAAATACTGTAGTGAATCGGACACGTCGGCTTTTGCTCTTTGCGGAGAGCGTTCGGAGGTATGTAAGTTGCCGCAAGCAGCTTTAGAAGAACATGGCATGTTGGAATCATTGGATATCGTAACTTGAACCGGTCGCAGCACGAAGAAGGCAGGCAGCCGAATGACGTTAAATAGGCGATGAATGTTGCAGATGCTACATAATGCTGTGATGATTCTAAGTGCAGGCGAAACATCACGTCAATGTTGGCCCCGCGGACTAAGCAGAATGAAGCTTGAGAAGGTGCAAGGGCACTTGATCAAGATCAAAAATAATGCACACAAATTAGTTGAAGCAACGCAAAAGACGCCAACCACGCTTCCAAAGCCACGCATGTCTTGATCGCACCAGCTTGTGCATCCCAAGAATCCCCAACTCTCGATTCCCTCACCCGTGCCCAAGATACAATGGGAAAAAAGTCTGGAAAAGCCAACCAGAAACAAATCTAGACATTGGGATGGCCTCACCGCACGCGCTTATTGGGCAAATATGGGCAAAGGATTCCAGGTAGAAGTTGATCCAAGTTGTTCTCTTTCCAACACTCTAATGTATATGTGAGAAGCTTACGCTTACGACGATTCACGATGCCGAACCCCGCACAAGATATTGAGCTCATCAGTATGATCAGGGATGCAAGCAAAGAGCAAATCTGAGTAGTGTACATAGTTCATCATATATGCCATGACCCAAAGCTGCCCGTAAGTCGCTACATCATCCGCCCTTAAAGCTTGCCAGACCAGTGATAAATAAATGCTGCCTTAAGCCCAATGCGGTACTCAAGAATGCGTCCCACTCTTGTTTTGCTCGTTCCAAGTCCAATAAAAATAAACATATATGGTGATCGTTTTCTTTTGGAAGGAAGAGCAACTAGCAACATTCTATCCATGTCCAAACTTGCAACCATTTGTTCAGCAGTTATAGAAAACCATGCTTGTATACGCTGTGTGTATTTGTGTGTAGTATTCATGAAGCACATTGTGGTATGCAATAACGATATCATAACACCTTTTTGATCCTTTATAATCCTTTATGTTCTTAAATCTAGGAGTATAAGTAACCAAACAAGGCCAGCAAGATAAACTAAAGACCTGGTCCAGACATTCGGAGAGCCATGAAGGGGACATCGGGCTCTGAAAGCTGCAGAACGCCCAAGCCTTCACAAACAAGATTAAACAAGGTTCATGGAAAATACGGGCTATACCAAAATTTGTTCGTTTCTTAGGCCTGTTTCAAGTACATACCACTTCCCAGCTTTGCTACGAAGTGCCGAGGTGGTAGCCTTTTGTTTTGTACAAAGCGGTGGTCAAAGTGAAACCCGATAATCTGGAACCACCCAGAACCGCTTCGGCTCGATCCAAGAAATCAGTCCACACAACAACCAACCACCGATGAATGGTGGGATCGTTCCAACACCCGGCCCAACCGCGCTGCCATGGCTGCAGAATCTGAGCAAGATGAGAGTGAATGTGGAGCAAGTTCCGCATAGGTCTACTTCTGTTTCTTGAGGCGTTGCCCTCATTGCCTGCAAAGGCTAGCACTTTCTCTGACTTGCAATGGCGAACACAACAAAACAAAAGCGTATCCTGCAACCAGCATCTCATCACACGTCCGTCTTTTGACTAGCCTCCTTGTTTTTTTTGAGTTCTTTGGAAGCGTAGGACCACAAGGCAGCTGACCTTCACATGACATCCTTGAGTCAAGTCTTGACGTCGCCAGTCCGACGTGCCTTACGGAGTGCTACTGAGCGGTGGCCTGGATTCCTCTTTGGTGGCAGCGATCATGTCCCGCAACAGTCAGAGGCGATGGCTTTCACTATTAGGTTGGGACCATCGCTACTAGGGTGGAGGCCTTTGCTACTAGGTTGGAGGCCATTGCTATCAGGCGTGGCCTCAGTAGGACCCACCTCTCAGGCGGCAGCACACGGGGCCTGCAGCGTGGCCTCAGCTGCATTCCTTCAGTATCGGCCTGAAAGGCAGTTTGAAGCTCAGTTACAGTTGAGTGAAGAACTACGGAACAAATTGTTCTTCTACAGACTAGTAGTGACTGGTGACACTACCTACGACTCCCTGCCATCGTGTCAATGCAGAGGTCCAGACTTGAAAGCTGCCAAGGAGGTTTGCTGCAAGATAGATTTACAAGATCTCTGATGTTGACATGGATTGCTTTCTGGGGTCCTCATTGTGTTGGCGTAGACTTCCGGTCAAAAGGTCAAAAGATGTCAAAAGCCTCCAGCCTGCTTTGCAGGTGAGCAATTACCTGGGTACTGTACACCATGAATACGTTTTCACAATTGAAGAAGCCCTGGATGCATTGCCAGATGCCTGCACCCCAGAATTCATCAGAATTTGCACCATTCGAAAGCCGAAAGGGCCGTGACATTCATTCGATTCTGAGGTCATCTACCATTTAGAGACCTTTGATGTGACAACCATCCGTGCTTCCACACCGATGTACCTGATGGCTAGGAGAATCAGGTGCACAACAGCGTGATATTCCAACTCTTGGCTTCAAACAGCGTGACCTACTTCCCAGGGCCACGGGTGTGAAGATGGTTCTAAGCGGCGAGGGAGCTGACGAAATCTTTGGCGGCGCGGCCAACCTTGTTGCTCTTAAGATGGCTTTCCTTTGACTATTGATATGCAAAACTGCCAGCTGCTAGTAGGTTGGAGGCCATCGCTGTTAGGTTACTTTTGCTACTCTGGCATTCTTTTATTTTGTGCCCCAGTCTGGAATCCTTGCTTCTTCCCGCAGGCTACCTCTACTTCCACAAAGCCCCAAATCCAGAAGAATTCCATGCGGAGAACGTCAGAAAGGCGCAGAAAACGGAGTTGTGTGACATGTTGGTTTGTGCAGTTTGCAGCTTTCTTGCACCTTCTTGTACTCCAGATCAAGCAGCTGCACTTGTATGATTGTCTCCGAGCAAACAAAGCCATGATGGCATGGGGAGTTGAGGCCAGATGAAAGCTGCTACCATGCGATTTTGCACATCGCTAACCAGTGAAAGTTGCCGACGGATCAAACAAAATGGCAGAACATGCCGAAAACTCGATACACAAATCGTCATGCAATTGCCTTGGACCGGGAAGTCTGTATCGGATCAAAGGTCCAGAAACACAAAACATTTCTGACTTTGTAGCATTATCACGATTCTGCTTTCCAGTTTTTCTTTGGCCCCCCCCGAGTGGCCGAAGAATTTGGTATTGACCTTGCTTTTCACTTGCGTTTTCTTGGTAAGCTCAAGCATGAGGATCATGCATTGGCGCATGTGTTGTGGCAAGGGTCTTTGCAGCACACTGGTAACTCTGAGCATGTTTGTTGTCCCCACTGTGAATCTAAACTGACTTTTGCGCCATACCGGTGCTCTTGGATTTCGGAACAGCGCAGTGCCGTGCGAGGGAGGGTTGATGCCCAAACATTGGACTCTTGCACCTCCTGTCGCTGATGCCCCAATTGTGGCTACCGGGTGTTTCTTAGACCCTGACATGGTTTGGGATGATTTCTGGTTTGGTACTGATGGTTCTGGTGGAGTGCATTCCCAAGATCCCAGATTGCGTAATAAAGCATGCTTGGGCCATTGCTGCTCTGACCAAAGACCCAGATGGTGTGTTGATGAAGTTGGGAGTGACTGTGGTTTGCTTGTGGATTCAGCGGGCCCAATCTGTGCCCAGACCTGAGTTCGCATGGTTCCCTGCGCGTGGTCTTTGCCAAATTGGTTCCGCGGGGTTGGAAACGTCGTCTGCTTCCCTTGGCCGTCATCGTCGGGATTTATGGGCCGTTGCCTTGATCAAGTCCCATTTGAAGCCTTGAAGCCGGGCTTCTTTATTTGACAAGAAATGGGCTTGGCATGATATACCACAGTACTGTATCAGCTTTGATAACGAAGCTTGCAACTGTTGACCTGCAAGCTCATGCTGACACCGGACCTTGTCTTGGCTCATTGGACGGGCTTGGAAGGTCAATGAATGGATACTCAGAGTACGGATGTGGCTCACTCAGAAGTGGGACAAAGGTGATCAACCTGCTGGTGGCTCGACACACCTGACTCGCAGCTGTTTGGTGAAACTACAGCAAACCGCACGTCTGACCATGTGTGGCAAACTGCTAGTAAACCCTTCAATGTGGCTCTCCCTTGTACTGGCAGGGAAAGAGTTGTTGTTTCTGGTTCTGGGTTGCACCCCAACCTGCGTTGCACTCACACTATGACCCTTGACACTGGCCGTTGACACCCTCGTTGCCAGATCTACGGAAAACACCGAGCGCTCGTTCGCAGCTGTGTTTTCGCTTCGAGGTGATCCCACTGCAGTGTTGCCAAACCGAGCCGCCTGTCCAGGCACGCGTCCCATTCCTGGACAGGCAGTTCATGGAGGCCGAGACTGAAACAAATTCACATTTCAGACGGGTCGTTTTACAAACTAAAGTGATCTAAAGTGTATAGTCGTCGCAAACCATGCTGCCAAGCCTTTTTGACGAATCTGGCCCCTACGACCCTTGGAACTTGAAGAGGTCGCCATGGGCTTCAATCCCGTGCAGAAAATGTGCAAAGACCAGGCTAGCACTTTAGCACTTTCGGTGTCCAATTTCCACATTCCAGCCTTCGCAAGTCAAATCGAGGCCGACAAGCCTCGATGTGAGAAATGGATTCTGAGAAAGGCACGATACAAAGATTTGTCTCACGATAGTTCAAGTGGGCGCTAAGTGGCGTTGTGTGGCTCCTTTGTCAACGATGTAACTTAGAAACTTGGAAGATCGACTCCTGTTCCAAGGCCTTTGATCAACCTGGCGATCGTGCATATCTGCCACCTGAAGTTCTGTGGAGACAGAAGGACGCCCGTGTGGTGTGTGCTTGGGGTGTGCTGGTGTGCCTTTTGAATTTTTACCCACTGCCAGAAACTCTTAGGAGCAGTTCAGTGATGGGGTGGGCTACAGCTGGATTGATTCCATCAAAGTTGGCGCACTCAGTTTCGACATTCTGAGAAGCTGCCGGGAAAAGAAGACATGGAAGGCATAGGTATCAAAAAAAATAAAAAGAGCATCAAAAAAAATTAAAAACATGATCAACAAAAAAAATAAAAAGCGAATCAAAAAAAATATTCCTTGATAGGCCTCTTCTGCTGCTCTCCTGGCCTTGTGGTCTGCGGGCCCTCTGGTAATGTGGTCCCTTGGTCCTTTGATCCCTTGGTCCTCTGGTCCACTGGTCCTTTGGTCCCCTGGTCCCTTGGTCCTTTAGTCCACTGGTCCCCTAGTCGTCTCCTGGTCCTCTGGTCCTGTGGTCCGCTGGTCCCGTCGTGGTATCCTAGTCCTTCTGTCTCCTGGTCCGCTGGTCTTTTGCTCTCCTACGGCGCTCGTCTGTCGATCTCCTGGTCCCCTGCTTGCGCAAATAGAGGCTTGATTGCTTTCTACTAGAGGCAGCTCCCTGGGAAGAAAGTAGGTACTACTGCTACTGCTAACACTACTACTACTACTACTACTCATACTACTCCTCCTCCTGCTGCTGCTGCGCCGCTGCTGCGCCGCTGCTGCTGCTGCTGCAACTGCTACTGCTACTGCTACTTATACTGCTACTGCTACGCTGGTGCTGCTGCTGCTACTGCTACTGCTACTGCTACTGCTACTACTACTACTACTACTACTACTACAACCATCCTCAGTGGGCTAGAATATTTTTTTTTGATTACCTTTTTATTTTTTTTATTGATCCCCGTTGAATAAGTTTCTTTTGATTCTATTTTTATTTTTTATTTTGATCCCTTACCCGACATGGAAGCAGCCCGACAGGTTTTTGCAACAAATTTCCAATGCCCTTGAAACCTCAAAAAACACCAGGCGGTTGCATGGGTTCCCTGATGTCCCTATTCCCTATATGAGATATCGTTGAGATACTTTGAGACACCCAAAGCTCTCATTTTTGTGCCCTTTCGTGCCACAGTAGCGAGGCCCATGCCGAAAAGCTCATTAGCGACCAGATCCTTGGCAACAATGGATGAGGGATAAATGGATGATGGATGATGGATGATGGATGATGATGGCTGATGATGGATGATGGATGAATGATGAATGATGAATGATGATCATGATGATCATGATGATGATGATGAGGATGATGATGATGATGGAGGATGGATGATGGATGATGGATGATGGATGAGGGATGAGGGATGAGGGACGATGATGATGATGATGATGACGATGATGATGATGATGATGGATGATGATGATGATGATGATGATGATGATGATGATGATGATGATGAGGATGAGGATGGATGATGATGGATGATGGATGATGATGATGGATATGATGATGGATATGATGATGATGATGATGATGATGATGGATGATAGGTGCCAGAGTTTGGGAGATAGCAATGACCTCTGAGGCAAATGGCGACAGCTGAACACAGAAACTGGTCAGCAAATTCTGAATTCTCTCTGATGTTTAAGGGATTTCAGAGAAGGCTTCAAAGTCGAGATGTCAGTGAAAGTTCGAGAAAGCTTGAGAAGGTCAAAGAGTCCTGGGTGCTCTGGCATGCTCTCGCTTCCTATGACTCTTTCTGAGGATTTCCAGTCAAGACACCTCGCACCAAGGAGGTTTTCAACCAAGCTAACTTTGAGCTTCATGTTCTGATTCGGCCTAGCTTGAAGCAGACCGCTTTTGCTGAAGGCTTACATGTTCCGGCAATTCTTTGCCAGCCACTTCGGAGAAAATTCTGCTGCAGCGCAGACCGTTAGAGACTTGGAACCCAATCAAGCACTATGCTTTTGCATCATCAATGAATGGAACTCACAACTTCCTCTGCATTGTGCATGCCTATGCCTTGTATGCTTCCGTGCCCTATGTCATGGTTGCTAGGTTGGCTGGCAAGACTCCATTGCATGCTCTAGTGAGGCCAGGAGAAGATGTGTATATACGGAGTATGGATCCTGGCCCGCTCCCTTTGAGGTGGCCTTGAAATGGGACAAGGCTTTCCAAGGCCGTGCAGATGCATCTGGCCGCGTCATGCCCTTGGACTCCTTTGACCCTACGTAGCAGACGCTGTAGATGTTGCAGACGCTCTTTGCAATGCAAGGCAGTTGCCGGAGTCCACGTGCAGGCCATCCAACGAGTGTAGGCATGCAAACTTGGCAGTCGACAAGTAAGTGAAGGCCTATGACGACAAGTACAAGACTGCTTCCCAAGCGTCAACGCCTCTGCATTTTGGGTATGCTATTAGGTTGGAGGCCATTGCTATTAGGATGGAGGCCATTGCTATTAGGATGGAGGTTCCTTTTGCTATTAAGTGGAGTCATCTAAGATCATCTGCACGCCCAGGTCAGGAGCTGCCACCAACGGGGAACCGGATGCCAAAAAGGCGGGCATTGGATGCCAAAAGCTGTCAGTTCACCCCATGGTTCACTGGGAATCTTTTGACGCACAGTCAGTTCAATATTTCTTTCAAATGCCAAAGAGTGTGTTTTCTTTTCATTTGGTTTATCTTTCTTTCGCTTTTCTTTATGTGAGGCCAGGACGGCATGTGCTCTGGCTGATTGGTCCCAGAGATGTTTTGATCGTGTACGAGAAGAGGTGCTGTTTCAACAAAACGTTGACACGGAACCATAAGAAAGTTAGGCAGAGCTCCAGGCACATCTTGGAGCAGGGCCAGGTGTTCGATGCATTCCTGTTTTCCAAGGAAGCCCTTGAAGAACTTGTACGCAGAAGAGGACGGTTACTCTCTCGAAACCACGGATTGCGACAAGACAAGAGTAGGTTCTTTAATCATCAGATCAATTTGACCGCATGGAATTGGGCTCAGCCAGCCAATAGGGACAAAGCAAGGCGCATGATTATGATCAATCATGCCTAGTGCAGGACTTGGAAGTAACTGGATTTCATAGACCAACAGAGAATCATTTTGATTCATATGTGAGCTCACCATGGCGCTATCTGCCAATGGCTGGAGAAAAGAGCCCGAGCCCGGCTTCCAGCTCTGAGACGAATAGTCTTTCACGATGCTTTGACGATCTTTATTTAAAGATATGTAAAGTCCCTTTATATACATAGTTTTACGATGTTTCACGCAGTCTTTACATTTTCTTGTCAACAGAGATGCGCGCTCGCATTTGTTTGTGGGATGTCCAACTCAGCAAGGTCGCTGTGCGGCCGCATCTCTCAAACAGAGGCATCCTGCTGCATGGGCGGAGATGTTGACTTGCTTTCGTTTGCATGATTTTGCATGAGCAGCCAAAGGCAATCAAAGGGAGATCGTGTTTCCCCTCCTTTCACCTTAGCGCCACAGAATCCCCAGAATCCACAGAATAATATTTTGGAGCTTCGTCAGCTTCGTTGTTTCTTTGAAAATCCTGGAACCGCCCTCCAGCTCAGGCACAAGCACTTCGGCTTCAAGAGGAGCTTTCTACCATCCTCAGAGGGCTGGTCTACAGCTCAGCGGTTTTACCAGGAATCCTCAGCCGCTCGGCCGTAGCCAAATAGGGTGCTGGTGCATCTTTCTGAGGCCGTTCTGAAAGAACAAGTGAAGAATGCGGATGAATTGGCAGGGGAGGTTGAGTAGTGGCCTTGGCACATTGGACGCTTTATCACAGGACTTTTGTGAGCTCCAAAGCTCCTTCCAAGGACTGAAAAGCTTCGTTTGGAGGTGGATGATGTCTTAAGACGACAGGACCGGGAGATTTCATAGTGAGATCTTGAAGAGATTGAGACGGCCTGCCTCGTGGATATTTTTTTGTGCTTTTTGACAGGGAACCATCTTAGAGGAGATGGTGAAATCAGCTGAGTCCTTTCCAAGGCAGCAACTGCATTCCGTCACTGCTGATGGCATGAATCTCATTTGCCCAGGCGCTGGGCACAGCTGGAGTTGAACACCAGCCAACGTCTAGGGCTTGGGGTGCATGTTTGAAGTACTCATCTCTCAGGGCTTGGGCATTGAGAATTGTCTTGAGGCAAATCTCTCATGCTCAGCATCAAGGCGAGTTCTCGCTGCGCACGAGGCCTGCGCACCGGTGGCTCTCGAGCCCGAGGCCCGAAGAGCTCGTGACCAAGCAGAGATGGGCGGAGAGCCTTCATCACCTACATCTGTAGCACCTCGGACGTGTTGGCATTGTAATTGTCGTATTGTTGCGCCCAGAAAAAGGAGCAACACGCACCTTCCTGATTCCGTTGAGACACATTGAGTTTAGCGAAAGCTAGGGGACGCCCCTCAGACGATGTAATTACCTGAATAATATGTAGCCTGTGCCGGCAGATTGGACATACGAGATGCCCTGATTGGATTGGAATGCATTCTAGATAGATGCTTTCTTCACTTGATTCCGCTTAATGTACTGCTACGCCTGGTTGCGAGGATATATGATATATATATATATATTTATATTTATACATATATAGTAGAACTTGAGAAATGCTTCCATTGCTGCCTAAGGCACGCTGATGTCCAAGACATCAGTCGGAGAATTTGAGACAGCTCTCAGATTGAGATTTGTCCCAGGTCATCACCCGCAAAAAAGACGCACGCGCAGCCTTTTTTGGAACCTTCCCTTTGTTTTTTGGCCAAAAGGCTTGAACAATTGATCACTTTTGGCGCTTCATTCGTGGCTTCTCATCAAATCCTTGAGGAGATCTTACGTGGGTTTGGAGAACCCGTTCCATGAGAGATTTTGACCTGGCAAGCCTAGTCTTGCCTGCGTTGGAGGTTGGACCAGAGGGTTGGACAAGCAAACCAAACCAAGAAGCCAATAACCAAGGATCGATTCAACATGAAGGTGCTTCATGGACATGGTGCAGAAAATTAAGGGTGCACAATGTGCAATGTGCCAAGTAGAAAAATGGCGCAATGATTATTGCTCCCGTGATTTCTTCAGAGAGGAACTTTCATCGTGAATTCTGAATATCACTCAGTGTGGTCTATGACATTATCTCGGTGCGGTTCAGGATGGTTCAGTCGTTTTTGAAGCTGGAGGGGCTCGATTTGTCAGTACAATGTCTGTGAAACAGAAGGATGATGAATTCTCTTGCTGGCTTTCTCACCCATTGGTCCATCTCCAAGTCTTTTTCGCAAATCTCGTCTCTTGCACAAGCGGTGCAGTGCCCTTGAGTGAGAAAAGATCTTAACTGAGCATCGTTGTGACGTAAAAAGACAGTTTTTGATCGTAGTCCTTGCTCCTAGTAGCTTCTTGTTCCTAGTAGTATGGCCAGGAGCCCCTAGTAGCGTCCTTGCTCCTAGTAGTACGGCCAGGAGCCCCTAATAGCTTCTTGCAACTAGTCATCGTTGTGACGTGAATTGATATTTTTGCTGTACTGAATTTGAGCGGAGTTGACGATGCTATCAGTTGCATCGGCTTGCAGTTTGGCACGAATTGAATTTCTACTGACTCACGAACTGACTCACGATGGGCTTCAAAACAAATTCTACTGACTCGTGATAGCTTCCAAGTCACAAACAACCTATGCCCTGTCTTCTGAGAATGCACGATGGGAGTAATCATAATCGAAAGACCTGGGCAAACAGCTCGAATAATTCTAGTCCAAGTGTGGCAGAATCTCTGAATCCCCAAGTCCCAAAGACCGATGACCCCTGGATGCTTGCAGAGCATTCCTGTGCACTAAAGCTCAGCACGAACGTCCTGAGCTTTCGTGGTGGCTCCTCCTGGCGATGGTACCGTGATGCCGTCATGCTTGGCACTAGGAACAAAGTGCATCGCTACTAGCAGCATGTGCATCACTACTAGGAACAAGGGCATTGCTACTAGTAACAAGAAGCTACTAGTAACAAGGTGCATTGCTACTAGTAACAAGAAGCTTGGCAGACTGGATGAGATTGCACAGACTCGCATTGACTGGGCAGGTCCTTTGGCGAGGACAGAGCGAGTCACCAGTGATGGACCAGTGTTTCATGCAACCGCTGGAACAGATGGGACATGACCGAAGCCTTGCGATTTCTCTCAGACTTGTTGCTCTGTCTCGGAGTACCCACATCGATTTCCAGTTCAAGAAGACCGACCGCTCCAGGAGGGGCAGTCCCCGATTCAATAATTGACAGTCACAGGCCTGGTCTTGCGTTGATTGTGAGGCTCAAGGCACTCCAACGCCTGTATTTGATGATGCCATGAGTGGTACAGCGATGGTCTTAGAGCTTTAGATGCACACAGCTCAAAGAGCAGAGTGTGAACCATTGGAGACTTTCACTTGGTATTGTATGCAGCTTAATGGCAACCTGGGCTTTAGCCTCATCATTGGGGCAACCATGGAATAACCACGAATAGCCGAAACCTTAGTTCATTTGCCTCCGCACCAAGGTCGAAGCTGCGACATGGCAGGAGGCCTTGTCGCAATGCTTGCTGGATTGCAGTTCAAGGGAAGCGAGAGCACTTGAGAGCACACTGCAATCTGCACCTGGTCCTGGTCCCGGATCGCCCGTGGAGGTGGAACGACGACTCTTGGTGCTGCAGAACACGTTTTGGCCTCTTTGCTCCCTTCAACATCCCCGGCACTCAGCCAGTTCGCTTCTCTGTCAGGCCTCGATCAGCCATGGCACAGGTCTTTGCGGAGGCGATCTCCGTTCGGCATTTCTTTGTGCATGCAGCGACTCCGAACGGGGCTCAACAAGCGTCGGGACCCGGCCACTTCAGGCTTGGAGACTTCTCTCCTGTAGACGACGCTACGCTGCCTAAAATAGAAAAAGCGGTGAACAAACATTTCATCCAGTGCCAGAGCTTGCCTGCGTCAAACGATGAACATGACGTTGCACACTATCAATAGGTTAGGTGCCAGGGCCATTGGCTCAACGGGGGAAGAATTACTATAATTACCATGTCCACAACGATTCCTTCCTCGAACTTTCAAGTTTAAAACATATCATTATTATCATTCTAACACCATGCCAAGCATCCCAATAAACATCCCGCAGTCTTTCTACAAGAGCACAAGCAACACAAATTACAGGATACAACTTGCGTTCCTGAGTAGCCCTGCCAAACAGTCAATAAGTATCCAACAAGGATCCCTTTCCACCGCATACGTCTATATCGGATGTTTTTGCCCCATGTGTTACGCAGATTTGGATGTCGATTTGTCAGATCTGTGGCTTTCTTGCATTCCGATCAGAAAATCCTGCTCATGAGATCTCATGAGCTGTAGTCTTGAGGTGTGGAATGGACCAGCCGCAGGTTCGCGCAGGCTTCATGCAGGCCTTTTTTGGTATGTTTTTCTTTCCTTGTGAAGCGTGGCAGGCACGGACCAACACTAATAGCAGGACGAGCGTTCTTCCTTTCTGCAGGCGCGTCCAGCTTCAAGTTCGCTGGGCCAAAATCAAGGTGTGATGGTGCGTGAGCATTTCTGGGTGTTTGTGAGCCTCAGAATGTCGCAAAAACACGACAGACTGTGTGAGAGTCAATCAGATCAGGCGCTGAAGAGCGTTCGATGCTCAGTCCCATTTAGATGAAGATACGCAAAACCATGAACCCATGCACACTGCTAGATTGCTAGGAGTTCAAGCTCGAGCGAAACAAGCAGAAGAATCACCGGGAGGCCAGTGAAGGGGCCCTCTTTTTTGGTTGTCTCATGTTATTTGATGTTGAGAGTTGAGAGAGACATGCAATTGACCATGAACATTCTTGTCTGGAAGGCATTTGAGACTCCAACAGACCCGATTCTGCAGTCACAAATGTACACGCCGGAGGCCTGCTGCACGTGTTTCGTTTTGCTTTTTCTTTTTCACTCAACATTCATTCAATTCACAAGCCGCGTCCGTCACTTGCCATTGACTTAAGCAGAAGACACAGACTGAGGCCTTGAAGACAAAGAACTTGACCAAGTTCTGTAATCATCTTGTCGCCCAGACCTTACCAAGTACGCGTCCTCTATGGGTCCAAACCACACCCAGCTCCGATCTAGGACCAGCACCGTGTGACAGTCCTGACCGGTCAATCCTGACAGCCGCTCAGGCCTTTGGCCTCCAAGTCCCGGAGTTGTCTCGGCCTGGGACGAACTGATGTTCGTTGGATTCCGTTGCATCGTTTTTTCCATTCCGAAAGCGGTTGAGGATGGACAGATATGCTGCAAGGGCTGAAGAGTTGGCGGCGCAGTTGACCGCTAGTCAGTTGGATGCTTAAACAGTTGGAGAATGGAAGGAGACATGAAGAGACATCCTGGACATCATCCTTTTCATTCTTTTTCGATGTCTTTGCCTTTTCCAACATACAACTGATCTGGTATTCAATGGAACTGGCATGAAATGGAACCTTCGTCTGAAGGTTCACTATTATCCTCAACGCTTTTGCTCGTGCTTCTCATCGACATGATGCGGTCCCTGTGCAGCAAGTTCGGAAACATGCAACATTTTGCAATGTTTGTAGGAGCTGAGGAGCCAACTTGTATATAAGGCAGCAGCTGAAGCTAACTCGGCACAAACACATCAAACACTTACTAGAACGGATAACAGCCAGCAAATCCTTTCAGCGGCCGCTGCAGTTCAAGCGGCAGTTTCTTTCACGTTTAGATTCTGGTGATATGTTGCCCAGATGCTAAAGACCTTTAGCAAGCGGATGCTACCCAAGCTGCATATGTCTTTACCTCAGATCAGACTTCAAGGGGTGCTGCTGACATTTCAGCTGCACAAGTGAGGTTCCTGCCCATCGATTTTTCGCAGCTTTGCAATGCCTACGCGAAACTACGAGAGCATGACGAGGCAAGTGATTTGTGAGATGAAGTGAGCATGACACGCGTAGTCCAGATGAAGTAGATCTAGTATGAGAGCCGATCGTGTCTTGGACACTACACAGCATCATCTTTCACACCTTCCCCCTTCCACAGGTACTCTTCAAAAGGCTTGCATTGGAAATGCCGATCGCCTTGAGTCACCTTAAGTGTCGATGTTTGTGGGACACCTGGCGTTCATGGGATGTCTGAGGCCGCACAAACTGCCTCATTTTGAAGGGATTCACTTGTCCTGTGTGGCACTGCCTCGCTTTGGCTCTGTTCTTTTTCCTCAACAGATTCACTACAGAAACCTCATGAAACCTCTGTGGTTTCTGACCGACAAAAAAGGTCGCGAATGCTTACGCCCGGCTGGCGATCCGGGACGACCTCCTCTTTGATGACATCGCTGACGAGGCCTGCGGAAGTGACCAATGTGTTGAATGTGTGGCTGCTCGGAAAATGGCCGGCTTTCTGTTTTGCTACAAGAAAAGACCCCAGGGAAGAATTGAACCGATGACCGCACATGAAAGGAAGTGTCAGGACACGACAACATGAAAACGTCGGAGCAAATAGAGATAATAAAAGCAAGCGAACAAGGCAAGTGAAAGGACATGCAACGGACATGAGAAGACGGCGCCAAAATGATTGTCACGCCGTCGAATCCGCTTTTGAACATCAAACGAACATAAAATATTTTGACAGCACAGCACAGCCGCGAAATGTAGATTCATGCTTGGACAACGGCAAGAAGACGAGATGAAAAAGAATAACAACAAATGAGGAAGTGCACATGAAATGGAAGGAGTGAGGAAGTGACAAGAGATTTCAGCGACAAATAAGTGTACCGTACCTGTGCAAGGGGCTGAAACTGTGCTGGGGGACAAACAAAGATCTATTGATGTCCACCATTGGTGTTCCACATTGTGGATTGATAATGTGGATTCTATTGCCATGGAAGAAGGTAAAACTAATCCTCCTCCTCGGCCAGACCTCACAACTGAAATTGACTCAACATCACCCCCAAAGAGACTTCTTCAACGTCCATTAGCTTACCATCTCACAAGGTCTCAAAGTGTCAAAGACTGAGACCTCAAACGCATAGTCTACCGCCAGCACAGGTCATACGTCGACCTCAAGACTTGAGCCATGTAGGGGGAACTCAGCACATTGAGTGTGTGCAGATGATAAGTTGAACAGTTGAACAGTTGTCAGAGTGCACAACAGAAAGGATGCAGTTGAAGCATCGTACTGGTAGCCACATTTTTTGCCGTTGATGGGCTTGCTTCAGAGCAGGTCGCACTGCTCAACATTGCAAATGGATTCTCTCGCTTCAAGATTCGTTAATGTCTCAGAGTGCAAAGGATATATATTATAAGTATTCCAGAATGTCCGTGACAACTGGCCAAGGTCACAAGCGCTTGTGGCCAATAATCGGCGAATGGTGACTTAGCTTGAGTCTAGGTTTTCCATTTATCTAAAAGAATACCCAAATACATCTGGAGTTTCAGGCAACATGTTGTGTTTGATGTACAGCTGTCCTCCTCAAAGGCTTCTTCAATCGCATCTTGACCTTCAAGCCCAGGTGACCTTCCTGTTTCAAAGACTCTGCTGTCTCTCATGTTACATCACAATACTTGTAGTGAGTGAGAGAAAACAACAGAAACACCAGCCGCAATGGTTGCAAGAACAAGTATACATCCGTGATGACAACACCAACAACTGCAAACAGCTAGGTTTGGTCTCCGTTTCTAAGTGGCTTAGCTATTTCAACGCCTGAAAATGAACTCAAGGTAGGTTTGGACAAGCGAGACATTCCGACAGGATGTGGCAACTGCTTTCAACGCCTTCAGTGCCGTTGATTTCAAACAAACGGAGAGCAGAGCAGAGTCGAGCCATTTTCTGCCTATACAGTGGTTTCAGAGTAGATGGCTCAATCCCCCCAAACGTGGTGGTGTTTTTCAGGACCCCCACATAAAAGTAATCTGTTGGTTTGTGCCATCTATATATATGCTCCGAAATCACTGTAGTAGTAGCTTCTTGCTACTAGTAGCGATGCGCTTGTTACTAGTAACGATACCCTTGTTACTACTGTAAATAGATTTTGTAAGATTCTTGCAGGAGCTTTTCCGGACTTTGCTGGTAAGCCTTTCACAGGCGGGATGAACAGCTGTGAGCTGGAGAGAGCCAGGATCAGGGCTGAGCCGAAGTACTTCAGGAACCGTTGCTGTCCCAAGCAAGCCCAACAACGTTGTGCTCGAAACTGAATGACAGGATGCAGAGCGATCTGAGACTTCAGAAACAAGCTTGTCGCCAACTGTGTCAAGTGCCAAGGTCTTACTTTCAACTCCTTGGATGCTCAGCTTGCACGATGCAGATGAATTCAGCAGTCCTGTTTTGAAACTCCTACAGGTTCAAGCTTTTGCCTGGAGTATGAAGGGACATGAAGGGTTTGCTCTGTCGTGTTCCGATGCGGAATCCTTGTAGTATCTGAGGCACGGCTCACATGGCCGGCAAAATCTGACGTCGAGGTGGGCTCTGGATGTTGAAATAGGGAAGTCAAGCAGAGTTTTTCCAGGCCAATGCAGCCTTGGATGTCCTTGTGGAGAAAGTCACATCACAGCAAGCATCTCAGAAGTTGAAGCGCCACAACGCACCCCCGCAACAGAATCTAAGTGAAGAAAGGTGTTTGTGACCCAGGTTGCCAGCCCTTGAACCTGTGGGCTTGACGCAGTTGCTCCACGCTTGTTCCAGGAAAACCGGGTCGCACGATGTTGGTGTTTGGACCTGCTTGATTTGTTCGCTTCATGCAAGGTGCATGCGACACACTGCTTGCGCAGATGCATGCACTGCTTGCGCAGAGGTTGAGACAGTTGCAGTCCAAGAATGCTTTGGTGGAGGCGTATTTGAACGATTGCACATGACCCACAGAAGAAGCTGTCGCTCAGGGCATCTTGGAACAAGCAGGGCAACAGATCTCCAAATTTCCAGCACAGTAGGATCCCTAGACGCTAGACATTCTTGATCCTTTTTGTTAACCGATTTGATTGGTAGACTAGTAAAAGAAGCCAATTTCAACTTGACTCCAGTGGTGTGGTGAATCTCCAGGTCATTGAGCCTACTGGTAAATGCCTGCGCACGACTGCAGAAGAAAGATGCCGGAGACTTGGCCATCCGAACATGATAGCACTGGCCCACACCACCTTTGAGGTTCCATTGCTCACGAAGGTGGCAAAGTGTGCAGCGCTGGAGTCCGAGAGATACAACTTTCAAGAATCCTTGCTTTCTCAGTTCTTCAAGCACTTGAAAGAGTTGGACATTTTCTGGATAGGCCACTGCTTCCGGAATTCACGCCACAGGCCATGAAGTCTTATTGAAGAAGTAGTAACAAGAAGCTACTAGGAACAAGTGCATGACTTCAAGTAACAAGTGCCTTACCAGTAGTAACAAGAAGCTACTAGGAACAAGTGCATCGCTAACAAGTGCCTTACTAGTAGTAACAAGAAGCTACTAGGAACAAGTGCATCGCATCTAGTAACAAGTGCCTTACTAGTAGTAACAAGAAGCTACTAGGAACAAGTGCATCACTTCTAGTA